GGCTGGGGTAAGATAAGAGGAGGGAGAATCCCATGATTCAATTGATGACATACGATTTCCTCCTTCGCGCACCTCTTTTCCCGGAAGTACGTATACCCTCCATCTTGGTTTTCAAAGTTTTCAAATTGACCTAGTTTTAAACCAAGTAACGATCGACTCGCTAAACCAATCATCTCAATACAGATATACATTATAAGCGTTTCTCCCCCTCTTGGGTAAGATTATGTTCCTGTAATAAAACTAATTAATGCTTTCACCCTTTCTGCGAAATATTTTGTTTCGTCATTATGGGACCAGAATTGGTCAATTCACGGTCAAATAATCCGAACGTCTTTATACTTTAAAGATTTTTGTCATTTGTAAATACAGCCTCAAAATGGAAACTGTGACACTGGTCAGCGTTAGTAAAAATTGACAAAATAAGCCAAAATCTTGTTTGAAACTAGGGAATTCCCAAAGTGATAAGACTGTTAACGAAATTGACAATTTGAAGTTGACGTATATCTTTTCAATTTTTGTAAATTATTAAGCTGCAGGTAACCATAGCAACAGTTTTGTAGAATATTATGAAGATGATGCCCGTTATATTAACGCTTTTTAAGAAACGCATGCGCAGCTGGATTGTTTCTCGAGCCATTAAACAATGCGACAAAATATAAATACTACTCCTGGTTTAAAGCCTTTCGATACACAATCCTAACGTAACTCAGGAATGTAAAAACGATAAATATACGGACGCCAAAACAGTAAAATGCGACCGCGGCACTTTCGTATTATAACGTCGACCAAGTGTATCCTTTTCAGAACTCAAACAAATTGTTTTGGGAATCTACTCCTATGGGAATAGAATAATTTAGACTTGAGATAAAAATAATTTGTAAAAAATATTATATCCATTTACATCATTACGTTTGAGTTACGTGTCCAATTACAAATTTTCAATTTGAATGAACTCAATTCTGGGGACCACAATTTCTTTTACAACGAATTGTATATAATCATTTGATAATTAATGTTTCTAAAATGGAAGACCTTATATTGTATAACCAGTGTATCTCCATGACTGAGTTGATCGATCAAGATGAAAGCACCGAGGAAACAATTGAGGCAACGAGCAGGTCGGGTTACGGTACATACACTAAAATTAATCAAAATGCAAAAATACACCATGATAAGGCAAGTTAACTTATATCCAATATAACTCAAAATCCACTAAACCTATCTATAAAACAGAAATCGCATAGCTGCCAGATTTGATTGAAACGAACGTCTGCTGAGAAGCATAAGGTCCCGGATGAGAGTACGAGCAGGTGCCATATTAATTCTCACTCTCCAACTGATCAACTTACTTACTCTTCTCATGATTTGCCATTGGAAATCACGCAATGAGCCATGCGCCGGAGTACGTTACAGGTGCTCAGTATACACAAACAAATAACTTGCTTAATTATATCTCTAATGGAAAACTATTTGTAGCCGACAGAATGCAACCCGATGCTCCAAACAGTTCTTCATCTAATATGGGGATTTACCAAGCATACGTATTATATATCTGCCTAAAGTGATGTATGCGTTTACGTATAATTTACTATATTAATTTATTAATTAACTCCGGTTCGATGTGGGAGGATTAAATTTCCTAATTAGTTAATGCTCTTGAGGACCAATATCTAATGGGGTCATCTGAAACGGGGGCTAATCAGGGGCGGATTTTAGGCCCCTAAAAGCCAAAAGTGGGCCCAAATTTTGAGGCCAATTTTCTTCAAAATTTGGCCTGAAATTAAAAAATAAGGCCTTAAAGGCCCAATAATGATAATTTCATTTGCCCCAAATATTTTTTGGCCCCAACTTTTTATTCTGGGCTCACCCCAGATCCGCCAGTGCTAATGATGCCCGATATCTTTTGTAATTTTTTGAACTACTTTCTATTGACGATTAGGTTGCTCGTCAAAATTGTGATTGGAGACTGATATGATTCTAATATAAAGTGATTGTTTCTATTATCAGTTATTGAGCATTCGCTTACTATGCCGGCCAGAGCGAACTTGTGAAAAGTATCAAACGCAAAGCATGTAACAGAAACAATCTACATCATAATTACGAACGCCAACAATTTCTACCTCCCCGGTTAACCATGGGCCATGGGCTTTCAACTATGAAAGCCCATGGGTTAACTAAACTGATATGAGTCAAGGTAGTGCTATTCGACGGCTGGTCATGTTAACCTGTACTGTGTTCGCAATTTTACTATAGGCCCAGGCCAACATGCATCTCTATGAACCTAGGGTAATCTTTAAAGACAGGTTGATAAATGAATATGACCAGAGTCTATTTTCCTTCGGTTGAGGTATGCATCAATGTGCACAGTTTAGGTAATCAAAAGAATTCTCCCTTTCGCGGTTCGCTCTTTGAATCAGAACGTTCGTAAATATGTACTGAAAAAGCACTCAAAAAAGACAAAATTTGATTGGTCAATATTTTCCCACTATGCATTTCGCGTAGCTATTTGCGTGACCCGAAAGTTCTAAATCAAACTAATTACGCAATTTTGTTTTTACACCCAAACGCTAAATAAAACAATGACACCATCGGAAGTTTTCTTCCTTGTCATTGCTAATAATAGTCAGTATACCGAGTTTAATCAATAAAAGATTGTACAATGAACAACAAAATTCGGAAATGAGTACTATAGATTTGCTTTCGGACCACTGAACAGATTGACCTAGATAGTAGCGACACGTCTTCTTTGGTCTACTGCTCAGTTGTTTGTGGGTTTTCAACGTAACTCTATAAAGTAATTTGAAGATGAATACTTTTATTCAGTTGTTGCATCGATGTTGCAGTTTGTAGTGCGGTAAGATTGGCATGAAAGTATTGAAAGTCGAATGAAATTGTTTTTCCCATATGGCGACTAGTCAACTGATCACGTGACCTTCTTTTCCGGAATATTTTCTCACTTTTTAATCATCGTTTTCACCACGCTGTGAACCAATACAATGAAAAGATAGCTGTCATATTAAGATTAATAAAAGATCAATCGTTTCTAATAATTTTTTCTGTACTCTCGTAGGGAATATGAACGCATATATCGTTTGAAAAATAGGTGTGAAAATCCCCATGTTAAACCTATGAGGGAAAACAAGGGTTTATAAATTTGTTCCTCCGTGAACTGCATCATGGGGAATATTTTGACCTTATAAGGAAAGATTTTCGCGTCTCCTCTTTTGAAGAAGGAACAACGATTTCGAGAATTCGTTTTCGTCCAGGTGCCAATATTTAACACATATGTGTACTGGGAGCTGTATAAATATTATATGGTCTCAAAACAACAGGTGAGAATCATTCACTGAATCAGCTATTTGTCTAAAGAACCGGGTGACAGTAGGTAACCACGTCCAGCATTTTTTGAAAAAATCTCCCCAAGCCGGTGCATATGAACAGTCTACAGTGTATAATACACGTATAAAAACCCACGCTAGTGTCGGATTACATCATCACCATTCGGGTTAATATCGCTCATCATGATGAATATGTTCAATAATGGAAATTTGAAAGTAGTCAGTCATACTTTGAGTTGCCCGCTTTCATTAAACATTATCTAACCCACATCAAATTGGTTTGTCACCACGATGGGCGATAATACAGAACTCTCCGAGGAGCGCCCTCTGGGGAATACCATTTGATTGTGTAAAAGCAATAGGTATAACTTATCACAGAATGCACACCACAATTATTTTGCCATAGGCCGTAATGTTAACTTCCAATGTCCTCAAGAAAAAAACAGATCGAATTTATGCTCAATCATCACCCTTACTTCAAAGCACAATGTCTAATGTACCCACCAGAGAAAAATAATTAAAATCGGTACATTGATTTTTTTCTTATCATGGTTTTATCTCCTCCACCATGAAGAGCTCCATAGTTAGTGGCCGAATCACTCAAAATTCAGCAGTGTATAAATGCGCTGTTTTTCTGCAGTGAAAACGAAATGAACTTCAAACTGCCCATGTCAACTTGTTCCATCAACTTACTGTACTAAATGACCCACCAGGCCCATCAAAGCCCAAATACACTGTATGCAGAGACATCTATTCATGCATATAGCATTTATTTTATAGAACTATCCATGAATGCGGACAAATAGTGGTGTTCGTTCACAATACTTGTACCCTGGTCGAAAATCAACAGTTGCAATTCAATTCAACCAATTACGATCGCAGTCGACGAACTACAGATAATGAATATTATGTTCTATAGGCGCGTAGAATGACACGACATAGAAAACCGAAGGAAATTGGTGAAATGGAATACTGTAGACGACAATCGCCAACCTTTGTTGTCGACTAAATTGATCCCTTCCTGTCGGATTTGATATTCAACATCCGGATTACCTTATCCTCCACATTCCATCTGGTTTATATCCTCGTACGTAATTAATGAGATAGAACTAGATATAATACAATAGATGGCTCTCCTAAAGTAAAGATATATAATGGACGCTTTTTTACACAGATACTTTATGTCCTCATCACATATACAAGTTATTGAGATACCATTGAACCTTGCGTTAAAATTTAATATTTTCTAATCTTAGAACCAATCGTGACTTGCACACGGTAAGACGTTAGGGGCTATGATCTCGTGAAAACTACCGGGCTGCTCACAAAAATATTTCCTTCTTTTCACAACCTTTATTTTAAACTTCTCGAGACGTTTCGGATCGCATCTGGATCCTTTAAAATAAAGGTTGTGAAAAGAAGAAAATATTTTTCTGATTTAATGATCCAACCTGAAGAACATGTTTAAAATACTGGGTTGCTGTTTCATATATTATGCATGTGTGGATGCCGACATCAATTACTAATGTTACTGCGAATTATCTGTAATTTTCTGCGAATAAGCAGCTTTTTGAGTTCAAAAAGAGCCTGTACTCATAGCATGCAATCAAACATGTGATATAATGCCGTTGATGTATTGATAATGATAAATTACAATTTTAGCAATGGCCGGCATCGTGGACGCTGCAACCTTGAAAAGATCAGAGAAGGTCTTCAAAGTCTTTGACTTGAACGATGACAAGATGATCAGCAACGAGGAACTTGCTGTTGTTTTTCTCTCAGCAGCAAGTCATCGCATGGGCTACCGTATCAAAACCGAACAGCTCGAGGTATTACCGAGACACACATTTTATGGTGGTTCTTTTATGGCTTTCTTTCAAAACTCATATCCCTTTATTAGACGATTACACAGATCTGTCACTAGTCTTTTCTTTATAAACTTTGTAATTTTTTTAAATAAATAGGCAAATTGCATTCAAAAAAATTTTTGAATTTAATTCTCTAAAATTGAAAAAATTGCAGATTAAAATTGATTTCATATAACAAGAAAAAAAACTATATTTTGGGATTTTGAGAGAAGGTAGTAGACTTACTACCATGACATGTGTTGGTACTTGGTTTTACATGTCGTTGGCACTGTCTGTCAATGTTGGCACTGTTTGTCATTTTTATGTTGGCACGATTTGACAATGTCACATTTGGCACTGTTTCAAAGTCGCAACACTTGCACTGCTCAATGTGACTTCTTGATTGGATGAAGTGTTGTCTAGAAGGAACAAACATTTCGTTCAGAGCAATCGTATCTTAGTAACGCACTGAACGAAACGTTACGCTGATTTGCAGTTGGAGCTATTCCTCGATCTGCCCAGCTACGGTTCTACTTCTAGACCTGCATGTCAATGCATTTTGGATTTAATTGTACAGCTAATTTGTGTTTTTATTTTATATTTTACAGTTTTGACGAACACTATTTTGAGCTCGGAAACTTTCCGCGGAAAGTGACGACGCCGAAAAAACCACCCGACTGTTACTGGTCTTGCCTAATGGTCAAAGCTAGGAATACCTTGTTGACTTATTTTTAAATATTCGTCATTATTCCTTCATTGCAGACATGTCTCAATTCAGCGAAGAACAACTTGCCCATTTCAAATCCGTCTTCAGAATCTTTGATCTTAATGATGACGGTAGCATAAGCAATGAAGAATTAGCCGTGGTATTCTTAGCAGGGATTTCACAAAGATTGGGATACAGACTCAGTAGTGAATTACTCGCGGTAAATGAAGCCCTGCACCCAGATTTGCCCTCTTCGCTTTACTTATCTTAGGAAATGCCTATAATGATAGATACGCTGTATTCAAATATAGATGACACATGATATATCTACTACCTAGGGATAGAGGAGGGATAACTTGATGACAGGACCTTTGAATTCTATGTTATCATTCCTCTTACCCAAGGAAAGCAGAAATTTCTATGCCCCCTTTCAAAAGATTGGCAACCCTGCTTCCCACTAGTTTAGTCAGAAATGTAGGACTTGAGAATTTTACATAGATACGTTTGATATTCGTAGTCCAACATAGATGTTTGATATTGCCAAACTTACGTCGGGGAGTATTCGTCCATATTTAGACTGACATGTGTTCCCATTATATTTAGGACTGACTATGGTTTAAATACTAGTTATATCTACCGTTTTAGTCCACTATCTCCATTTCGCTTTATTTATAACCTCGGCGTTATGTACGACACCTAGTTATGTGTAGTTCACTTCACAAATTTCAATGTTGTCACGATAATTTAGATCTTATCTTATCAATAACTATTTTCAATAAATTATAAAAATATGTTTACCTTCGAAAATATAGCCTGATATATTATTATCATCTACAAAATGCAGACTAGTCAATCATAACATCAAAAAAGTACACAACTTGATTCTTAAGGAATACTTTAACCGATTAAAGTTACATTTGAAAAAAGCATGAATATAAATTCAATATTTATATAGTGAAATGGAGAAAGGCTCCCATAGGTAAATTTTATCCAGTTCCATGATTAAATTCCTGTGAGCAATCGTATCTGTATACTTTGTGTCATTACAACACGGAAATTTTTGGCACGTATGATCGACAAAAATACCATACCTCAATTAATTCATGAGTATAATTTTGGATACTTTTTATGTAGTTAAATACGCAATCGTATTGGTTCCTAGGCATCTATAGGTACATCCGGGCTTTGCAGCACCAGATCCGGAGTGAATAGTGAGGATTTCCCGTTATCGGCTTGTACAATCTGGGTTGCGATTTGTCTCGATGAAAAACGAAAAGATCCTCCTTCTGACTATAAACCCATACAATCAAGAATACAACTACATAGAAAAATCATGAAATGCCCGAAAAAAGTTTGAGAGATGCTGTTTTTTGCTAATTATATGTGCCAATAACTCCATTATTGTAATCATAAAGTCAAAGCATATGTGAGGTCTCAGGATCCGGATCAAAATCATGGTACATGATGTTACTCTGAAATGACTAAAAAGCACATGTCAAAATGAAAAAATCGTAGAGAAAGAAGATTAATTTATAACGGTCTTAGCCTTGCAGCATGGAAAATGTATCCAGTATCCACCCTAGAAGCATGGAGAACGATTTTAACAAAGATATATATTACAATTTATAAACATTGTTTGTTTTTCTCCTTAGTTTGATCTACACATGTGCATTCTTTACTTGACCTGAAGCAAACCAGGCCAAAGTATGGCCTTGTCTAGATTATCTCCCCTATTTAATTTGTGATTGATTCATAGATAGATTTCTGATTTACAATAAGTTTGTTTGATGACTGTTTTCTCCCCGGCATTAAAACAACTTGGTGCATGCACCCAAAAATTAATACACCCATTTGAAATAAAATCTACACCCACTTGATGTTTTGGACCCTTTGGAAAATAGGTAGTTTACCATTTCTTAGTTAAAAAAATGTTCAAATGAGAAATATGCACTAATATGATGAAAATTCCGGGGAGAATACCCGAGACCCAGGAATAAGTTATAAAATATTTAAAATGTCGCCTAGCAACTGAATTGTTAAATAAAATCTGCACCCACTTGATGTTTTGGACCCTTGGGAAGATAGGTAGTTTACCATTTCTTAGTTAAAAATGTTCAAATGAGAAATATGCACTAATATGATGAAAATTCCGGGGAGAATACCCGAGACCCAGGAATAAGTTATAAAATATTTAAAATGTCGCCTAGTAACTGAACTGTTTGTATATGTAGTGTACTGCAAGGAGAATTGATTCTCAGAATTCGTTTGCTATCTTTTTGACTAGCATGGCCAATTTTGTAACAATATATTACTATAACGCTCGTCTCCCGACTAGATGCTTTGTCCTCAGATAAACCATATATTGTAGTAATATGATTACCAAATTTGCCCATGTCAGTCAAGGGAAGATCGTAAAGCATGATGGGAGTTAATCTACCTTGAGTCTACTGTACTGTTGAGTCTAAATAAACTGCATTTTGTGCACACTCGACTCCTGAAAACGATAGATAAAACAGAAGATATGTAATTTCAAAATATTTTATCACAGAATTTCAGGGCCTCGGGAGACCTTTTCACCTACAGTTTTTTTTATATTATATCTATAAATGTTTAAGGATATCACCATTTAGTATAATTCATTGTCTGTATATTTAAAGACGTTATTAAAAAACTGAATGATGTAATTTCTGTCATAATTTATAAATATTTTAACTTGATGATAAGAGAATATTGACTTTATTTATTTGTGTTTAGTGTTTCAAATAGTTTAGATTACAAGTTTTAGGATAGGTTGTAATTTGATCGTTTGTGTTTGTCATGTATTAATAACTATGTAGTTAATTGTGTTTGTTGTTGTGGAATACAATGTAACAGTAATGTTTGTGCTTGTCATGGATTGGTATAATAGATGTCAGTCCATGTCTTATCTCTTCGTTTCACGCCATCTGTCGAGTTAATCTCCCCCTGTTACTAAGAGGAGGGAAACCCCCAGAACTTTAGCGATGACAGACGTCTCTTGTGCACCACCTTCGTTTGCTCAAATTCTAACCAGTTAGTTTTGAACATTACACGTCATTATGATTCACTAATTAGTGTTCATTGTCAGACTTTATTACAATTCTTTGTTCTAGACGTTTCGAATGCAAACTGTATCCATGATCACTAAATTTAAATTGAAAACAAATGAATACAGGTAAATCTACTTTTACGTCATTAAACCTAAACGTCAAAAAATAATTAATTAATTGCTATGGCAATATAACTTCATCCCACAAGCGATCTAGATTGAAGTTGCCCATGTCTCTATTGAAGTTTTTATGTTTTCTAATATGAATGGCTTCTCTTATGAACCTATTGTTTCTGTTCCTTTCTGTGCTAACTATTTTATAATTGTTCCAATCAATTTCGTGAATATGATCTGTAATCGCTGATTTATTAAAGCAGTTAAAAGAAATAGTAGACTTACCTGTATTTAATTCAGCTGTTTCCAATTTAAATTTAGTAATCATGGATGCATTCGAAACGTCTAAAACAAAAAAATGTAATAAAGTCTGTGACAATGAACACTTATAAATCGATTTAATATTACCAGACTATGAACTTATTTAACGTAACGTCATCGTGATGTTTTAACCTATGTTAGCATATTCCTTACATCGTTCATTATCTTGATGTGAAATAATAAGCTAAGCTACTGGTTGACACACCAGAAACAACATATAGTATTCGAAACGTTATTTGAAAATTTTGAATCCGCCGTTTTTGTTTGTCGATTTGGACCAATCGGGATGGTTGGTCATTTCAATACAGATTTACATTATAGACGTACGTCATCTTTGAACCCTGGGGTTTCTCCCCCTCTTCCTGTCACTGTTACTATAACTTGGCCAACAACTAATAAACTGGCTTTTCTGTCTTCTTTACTAGAAAGTTGTAGAAAGAATGAACATGGGAAAAAATGGAGAAATTACCTTTGACGAGTTCCTTCAAGCTATTCCAGGAAATGCAACTGAATTCGACGCTAGCGTGCACAGGTAAGTAGAAACTGACGACGCCACGGAGATAAAATGGAGCCGCCTGCCAAAAGGATATTTCTTTACTATTCACCGTCTCCCTAACTAGCAAAGCACAGAAAAACAAACCAATTATTAATCACTCGACCTAAGTATCAATGTTAAATATAAGCAATTGTTTCTTAATGACTGAAAAGACAAGTTCCGATTTTAAAATTTGTCATGGCATTGCTCGCGAGTCATGTTAGGTTGTCCTTTGCTTTGATAGCAAACAGCACAGTAGGAAAAATTCGACAATTGCTTATCTTTACGTGATAATATTTCTTCTAAATTCCATTTCCGTCTAGACCTTGTCTGTCTACCCGAAAAAAGACTAATTTTTAGCTTATACAAAATCTGCTTTTGTGTGCTCCATCCCGTATACAAGCCTTGGATAGTGCCAAGCTGATTTATGAGCCATAGCGATTAACGTTTGAAAAATTGGCTTATATGCAGGAGGATACTTAAGATGTTGTTGGCGTTTTATGTAGTATATAGTGCCCATTTTGTTTATGTCTTCATTAAATCACCTTTATTTCAGCTATTTTAGTATCTTAGGGATCTCTACCTTATAACCTATGTTTCCCATTATAAATAAACAGATAACGTATTGTGAGATTTAGTATGAACATAAAGATGGCGGTGGTGTTTGTAATCTTCAGCTCTCATGATTACGCCGCCATCTTTGAATTGATAGAAACAGTATTTTATGGAGCCTTGGTACAAAATGATAAGCCAAATTGTGTTTTTCAGAATTCTGCAAAACGTTTCTGAATGTTTGTAATTGTAAAGTCAGAGGGGGTGTGGCATTCTACGAAATTTGAAATACCAGTAAATATATTACATGACGCACCCCCACGTCACATTGAGCTTCAGCTTAACGTTGTCTGCTTTTTGTCGTCATCATCTTATACGTTATATTTGGAAACTAACTAATATAGGTGGTCATATAGAACCACAAACCATAATATATAAGTGTCTCTACCAACTTTAAGCAAGGGGATTTTCAATAGCAGGAATGGTAATTTATGTTTCGTTCGGTGTATCAGGTAGCTATACTGGGATTGAGAGCTGAATGCTGACGACACCTGGCAAACACTGCACGAAGTACGTAAATTACCGGGGATTGAAACGCCCTTTCTCAAAGTTGGAATCCTATTAATTTTCCTTTAATTTTAGGCACTAGTCCAAAAGTTTAAATTGGGCACAGGTGCTGAGATATCATTTCAAGATTTTCTCAAAGTCATCCCTGGAAACACTACGGATTTTACAGTCGAGGACCATAGGTATAGTCTCAAATCCAAAGTATACACTCTCAGACCCAAATAACGATACCAATTCCAAGGTATAATCTCAAACCCAAATGAGAATGATATCAAGTTCATCTTTGAAAGCCTATTAAAATGATGAATTTCAACTTAGTTTTATTTATTTTGCAAATAGTTTTATTTACCAGATAGTTGTGTGGGGATCGGTTATGTATGAGGCCTATACGTAGGTGAGCTTTAACTTCGTTTAAATAAACCTCGCCTTGTGCAATTCTGGACGAGCATCTGAACCCCCCTTCTTTCCTCACATTTACATGCACAAACTATTACTAATAACGAAACTGAGTTTTGAAATACTTGACGCTCTTACACTCAGTTGAGTGTAGACAGTTACGATCTATTTTGAGACTTGTTTCTAAGAAATCTTACTCGCAACCACCTTTGTCTCTATCCTACATCCCACCAACCTCCCTTTATTACTGTACTCAATTCAGTAACTGAACACGTGTTAAGTTCATAAGACTACATTACAGTTCAGGTATTCATTATGATTTTGATATATAGTATATTAATAGTGTTTTGAAATACAATTGCATTACATAAGGATAATTGTTTACATATATTTATCATATTTCATCTTATCATCTTATATAATCCAGCTCTATAGCTAGTCATGGATAGCCTCGAACCAAATGTCATAATGTTATATCGAAAGTACAGGTCTGTAAGCATATATATATATACAGGGTGATTGATCATTTTTGGAAAAGAAGCTGCTCTCATTATTATTCAATATGCACTACCCTGCTCAAAATATGTATGATGAACTGAACCTGTGAAAAACAAACAACCCATACTCATTTGTTATGCTATACAGAAATTAATATGGGAAACTGAGGGATATTAAATTATTTGTAAACGATTTGAGCGCTTCTTTAGATTAATTTTCAATAACCACGTAAGCAATGCGTTCGAGTCAAGTGAAGTGAGCTCATTGTAACATTTAAAAAAATCCGTTATGTTGCCATAGCTACATTTAGTTCTTAATTTGTAGGAAAGCATCTGTACGTAACAAGTTCTCTGAAGCCGAAGAAAAGTAAGTACATAATGCTTAGTAGATATATAACTTAGTATACTTACCCCTGGGTATTTCATATATTCAATACCTCCCAGTTCCAGAGCATAACGTCTAACTACTTTTAGATGTCAGATGAAGAAGAAGTCAATATAAATCGTAAAAAATACACAGTTTGATGCACAGCTTCAAATCATTGTACCTTTACTATTACTTATTAAAAGGCAAGGTATATTTAGTGACTATTTACATGCAAAACACAACTAATTTTACATTTATTGTCTTGTCATCATAGATGTTATGTGAACGGCGATTGGTCTTGCTTGTGATTTAACGCGTTGTACTTTGTCAAGTGACTATGTACAGATCGAACAAAAACTTACTTACATTTCATTTACACCCTGCAACCATAGAATATAATTAGGACGACGATGGGTCTTGTTTGTGATTTAACGCATTGAACTTTGTCAATTGACTATGTACAGAACAAAAACTTTTCATTTACATCCTGCCACCATAGAATATAATTAGGACGACTATGGGTCTTGTTTGTGATTAAACGCACTTTACTTTATTGTCATGTGACTACAGAACACCAAATAACTAACAAAACATTTACACCCTGCCCCAACAGAATGTAGTACGGACGACGATGGGTCATGTTTGTAATTAAACGTACTGTACTTTCATTTTCAGTAAGACCTATCTGAGAGGCATCTTCAACCAATATGATGCCGATGGCAACGGATTTATCGACCACAATGAGGCTACCACAATCTTGAAAAGTTTTGGCTTTGAAGAGAAAGAAATTGACAAGTATGATATTTCTATAACTAATGTACACTTTTGAACGTTTGAATCCACACTCATATGTTGATGTCCAAAGGCTATTAACAATGCAACTCATACGACGTTTATTTAATTACCAATGGTTTCCCATTGGATGGATGTCGGATACTTTTTCAAATGTCAAATTGTTTCGAAAAAACATAAAAACATCGTTTTTAAGTAACGAGAAATAATATGTTCCCATAGGGCCATCGGAAGTTGTTGACGTGTTTTTGTTTATTTTCAGACTGATCAAAGACCACGACACAAACAATGATGGCAAGTTAGATTACGAAGAATTCATTTCCTTCTGGGGCCATACTCATTAAGTCTATAAACACTAGCCTTTCATTTGTGTGTCTTGATAAACATATGGACAATAGGATAACTTACGTCTCATTAGTCACACAACGTACACAGAATACGATGGACAAGTCCAAAACCTTTGAATGTGATTTCCGACATTGCGAGGTCATTTTGCATCCACTGTATATAATTGAAGAGTCATTACTGGACATTATACATCCACGGTATCTTTACGAAGAGTCATAAGTGGACTTTATACTATACATTCATGGTACATAAATGAAGAGTCATCATTGGATTTTATACATTCATAGTAGTTTTTACAAAAGTTGTTACGTCATACATGACGCTAATATGGCCTGCTGCGCCATCTACGCATTCTTGTATATTCTAGTTTTCACCCCACAGCTAGCTGTTACAAGAAAGAACCAGTCGATTAGTTGAGGTTTTTACACTCATTCTCTGTAACCATGGATGTTTTTATTCAATGGGCTAATGTAATCTACGTGTACGTGTATATTACGTGTAACTTACGTGCAGGGCGTTGTTGATACGATATTTGAGGTGTGTCTCAATTGAGACTTTGGGCACCTGTTCCTTCATCCCAATTGTTTGTTAATATTTTAACCGTTCTTTTGTAACATTCAAAAATATGAAAAATAAAATTAAAAAATATGTTACCCTATATGATTGAGTGTTGATTACAGTAGTTGATTTGAGGTACAGCAAAATCGTTGTAAGTGAACTCTTGGTTTCGAACTGATCCACTCGGGACTTTATTATTGTTGATAGATATCTTCAACTAACAGAGATATTCCATTTGACATGGTGAACTGTACACACTGAACAAAGGATGAATGAGACATAGAACTAATATACAGAGTGGGTCAAAAAACCAATACCCCACTTCAAATCAGGATAAAAAAAGTTATGTTCAATATGGCACATTGACTAACATGTATACATCTTTTTAAAGTTAAATGTTTTCAAACAATTTGGTATATAACACTATATCATAAAATCAATAGTAAAGGTATATTTTTTACTTATTTTGGAGCCTGGGCTACTATTTAAGGTCTCTAGATTTTATGGAGAAAACAGTAAATCTTTGGAATTATGTAAACTTTTTTAGTTATAGAATATCATTTTGTTAGATGAATACATGCTTGTATATTTGCATCATTGTGTGACTAAACTTACTTTTTATGAATTTCAGTGATGTTTAATAACATTTTGCAATATATTAATTTAAATAATTGCTCAATATGGTCTCCCCCCTTCGCCTCTGCGTCAACAATAACTTTAAGCGATAGCACCATTTATAAACAGATTTCTGTTGCAATACATTCCAGTACTTTAGGATTCTGCATTTAGGCTCATCACTACTTTTTATTGGATGCTTGTGATTGTACACCATTTCGGCGCCATGAATGGTAATCCACCACATTAGCATCGGGGCTGTTGGGTGGCCAAGCATCTGGATCAATCAAATTAACACATTGTTCGTGAAGGAATGCCAATGTCTCCTTTGATCTATGGGACGAGGCACAGTCTTGTTGAAAAATAAAATCCTCACCACATATACGTTTCATGTCTTTTAACAAACCTCTTTTGAGTACTTATTGATAATAAACAACATTGAAATTCATAAACAATAAGTTTAGTCACAAATTATGCAAATGAACAAGCATGTATTCACCTAACGAAATGATTTTCTATGAATAAAAAGTTAACATAAGTCCAAAGATTTACTTTTTTCTCTCTAAAGTCTAAAGACCTTAAATAGCAACCCAGCCTCCCAAATAAGTATAATATACCTTTACTATTGATTTTATGACATAGTAGTGTTCTATACCAAATTGTTTGAAAATGTCAATGTACCATATTGAATGTAACTATTTTTATCCTGATTTAGAGTTGGGTATTGTTTTTTGGCCCACCCTGCAGATGGCAGTTTTGATCGCCGTATGCACGTCACTTTCGGTCGATTTGTGTATGATTATTGCTCCATTATTACCACCTTGCCGGGCCAGTTCTAGGGGTTTTAGTGCTAGTTTAGAAGGCATTTATTTTACTATATCGACCTGAGAAATGTGTGACGTCATAGTGGTGGTCCATATGGACCGGTCTAGAATATATTCTGGACCGGCAATTTTCCCCGGGAAATTAGATATCGTTCAATGCGTAAGATTTTCTTGCTGTTTCAGTCCTGGTCGTTAACGGTGGTAATTATACTAATAACGTCATTTCTGCGAGCAATATAGTGAAATATTGGACCTTGGGCCTTCGGCCCTTGGTCCAATATTTCACTATATCGCCCTTAGAAATGACGTTATTGTACTATTATAAACTAAAGCGATTAATCCAATCTTCATTATTGTACGCTCATATCCAATACAATGTTTAATATCACACTCATTGAATTTTACGCCATCTATCGACAATCCTCCAGTCAGCTTTTTGAATTTTACGCCATCTATTGTCAGTCCTAAAGATACTTCACTGAATTTAATGCCATCTATTGTCAGTCCTCTAGACAACTGATTGAATTTTACGCCATCTATTGACAACTCTCAAGACACTTCACTTCGATTGACAGTCCTTCAGACGGTTCATCTAAGTTACTCCACCTATTGACAGTCCTCATAACAACTCACTGAATTTTAGGCCATCTATTGACAATCTCCAAGACAGCATATTGAATTTTATACCATCTTGACTCATTTCGACGGTTCTTAAGACAATCCTTAAGAAACAAATCTACCCACGAACGCAGTGTTCATACTGAAAATGTAAACCTGTTTCTTATGGGCCATGTGTATAATAGTACAATAACGTCATTTCAAATGGCAATATAGTGAAATATTGGACCAAGGGCCGCAGGCCCAAGGTCCAATATTTTCGCAGAAAAGTTAATGCCCAGGGCTGAAATAGGAAATTTGAAATAGATAGAGATTATCCTATATGAGGTTCAGGATATTGGGATTATCCCGAGGCAAATAAAATATATTTGCCCGAGGGCCGCAGGTCCCGAGGGAAAATATATTATATTGGCCAAGGGATAATCCCAATATCCTGAACCGACTATAGGATAATATGTTTATCCCATACAAATCTTGGTCATCTGGTTCACATTGTTCATTTGTGGAAATATTTTAGAATATTCATGTCCAGTTTTGTTTTCTTGGCCGTGGGCGGATTTTCATGTTCTTTCAAATATTCCCACATTTATTTTCTCAAATTTTGTTTGATTTGCTCCTTCCCTTTTTAAAACCATCAAACAGATCCCGATTGTCTGTGATTTCTCCATCGTAGTTTACAGTCATTACGCGAACGTTACAAATTATGAACAAATATGCGAGCGGCGATTGTGACGTAGCGGGCAGATATACTATATCTGCCCGCTCGGAGCGGGACGTAAAGCTATATCTGCCCGCTGATGAAAATATAAGTTTTTACAAACCGGCTTTATGTACCTGTAACACGTCCAAGTATGGGATAAAAAATCTTACGCACTGAACGATATCACTTTTCCCGGGAAACATAGCCGGGCGGATAATGTCATTATTGCCCGACTAAAGTCATTAACGCCCGACACAATATTGCTCACGTCAATAAAGCAATTTAAATGCCTTCTCAACCAGTACCAGAACCCCTAGAACAGGCCCTTCAAGGTGGTAATAATCTTACTTACGCGTAAAAAATTAAATAATAATACACACGATAGAGTTGGAGTATAATGATCTTGGATTATTTCATGAAACATTTCGGTTAATATGAATTAACACAAACAAAAAAACAAACAAACAAACAAACAAACAGAAAATAGGCAATAGAAATGTTTCATGTGTTTACAACAACCCATATAAAACTGATTGTTTTAGTTGATTGGTTATTGTTTATCAAATATTGATAAAGGACTATGAAAATAGATTAAGGATTCATCAATAACCTCACATCTCTTTCTAATCAGAAATGTGCACCAATTAATTAGTCTTTAGAAGATCTTAGCCGAGAATACAATGTCACAAAGAAATGATGAATCGTAATGTTTTCTTGAAATTACATTCCCAATGGTTTGGACACCCTTATACGCATATAACACCATTTGTGTAATTAACGTCTATTTATGTTTGTCGGTTTAAACTACTTATCTCTCATATTTCACATTTTGTTGATGAACATCGGTAAAATGGCAAACTAAAACTATGAAGTCAAACTAGAAGGATTCCAAAAATATGTTTTCAAGTTATAACGATTCAGTATTTCGCATATATATACAATACGATACGATACGATACGTTATAACGATACGATTGAAAGATTGAACTAAATATATTTTTAATTTATAACGATACATTACTTTGCAATAAACAAAATTAAAAGTAGTTTTGATGTTTTTTATATAGGATAAAACGGATGCACTTTTATAATCACAAATTTCTGCATTCTACGACAAGGAGATACTTAAAGTCTATAAGAGATTTACCTTTAATATATTATTTATACACCAAGATATATCATCTTCGGCTATTTATGAATTTTGCTGAAGATATTTGCATTGACAGTCTGTATTGTCGAAGAGTACAAGCACGTATCGTTAAACTCAATTATTCATGTTTAATTGCAGCTTTCGATTCACTCGAGATTGTTCATAATTTTCCTTTATGCACTCTCCCAGAAATCGTAATGCGATATTATATAATCAAGTTGCGGATATAATCGCCCGGGATGTATATAAAAAACGATAATCTTTAGAAGCCTGCAATTAAATGTATATTAATACTAAGAAAAGATTTTTTCAATGAGTTTTTTTGTAATTGGAAAATTGAATGTATCGATGTCAAGTAAACCTCCTTATGAATTTTGCCTTTTATTCTTGTCTATTACTGACAGGAGTTCAGCTATGACATCGGATGAACCCTAGACCCTATGTCAGTATTGATCATTTGTCACACGGATGTCACATATCGTGAATTCTACGTCACGGTGACCTGTTTACAGATCTAAATTCCAACAAGTTCTGTTTCTGAGTACTCGACCGTTTTGAAGAGAGTATACCATTTTTGCCAGTATTAATAATTCACGAGCAACCTTTATTTGGCACATTACGTCATATGCTACCCGTATATGGTGTGTCACGTGATTCAGCGACATTGAGAAATCTTGAAACCGTCTGGTCTGCAAGGAAACACAGCACTGGCTACAGTATTTCGATTCAGATAATCATTTTAATTGATTTGAAACTATTTGGATATACGTACATTACAACTGGATCAACCAATCAAATTAGATAAAATGACGACCGAACAACAAACGTTCCAAAAGTAAAGACGACCAAATTGGACAACCCGCGGTCTAGTATGAGGGTAGACGAATTGGAGCCAACAATGAAAATATGAAAATAGCATTTCTGCTTTGGATTTTGAGAGATTCCATCGGAAACAGTTATTAAAGGTGTTAATACTGATTATGCAAGCAAATTAGCGGAAATATGAATTGAACTTATCCACCGATCAGTGATTAAAGTTAGGCTATTAATTTATTTTCATAATTGGAAAAATCAAATATTTATGCCAATGCGATATTTTAGTATGGCATTCATCGTCCTGTAATCTTGATTTACACACTGATAGGAACAACATCCATTCATTCATTGAATATCGGCGTGAATTAAGCATGTTGATATTTACATAATCAAAGGTGATATGAAAATGGTAGACTTGGCTGCAATGTTTCTGGACGTCTTCTCTGTGTTTGTTGTGTTGATGTTTTTGAAAATAGACGCAAACGAACGTTTACAGACAAACGAGTATACGTACATACACGGAGAAAAGATTGGACATGATGTTATATACCAAACGAAAGCTCGTTCGAGGCTTGAGTGTTCGGCAGCGTGTGGAAAGGACAGCAACTGCTCGGCAGCTAATTATCATCACTCAAAGTGTGAAATCTTTACATCAGTTAGGTTGGCCGACGGTCTTGGAGTAATAGCTGCCAAATGGACGTCGATATACAAACAAATTGGTAAGGGTGTATTATTTTACAAAAGTCATTAACTTTTTAATTTCTACTGGAAAGGTAAAATTTGACAGATTTAAAAAAAATGGCTCAAAAATGTTAAAGATATTTTGGAGATACATACATGGATGCATCTGAGAATTCGTGTTTGAATATGTAAAAATGCGTTATTTGAAACAATGATTGGTCAGTTGGATCTAAAAGCACACCCGCTATGAGACAATTAATTGCTGAACCCGCTGTTGCGAAATATATTAAAAGTAGAATCAGATCTAAAGTGGGTGACAAAATTGCAAGAACATCAACAATTGACCTGCTAAATTCCTTATGATCTCAAAAACATCTCCAAAAAGATTCCGTATATGTTATGAATTAGTAAGGTTGTTAATGATTCAGAGTGCATATTGGGATTATCTCGCAAGCAATAAAAATGGTAACCATAAAAATTGAACAATATTGTGAATATCTTTTCCTGAAGTTATTGTAAGTATGTACCCGGGGAATTTTTATAAAATAAACATGAGAAGAAACGACACGAATCAAAAACATTTAAAATAACAATTTCTCGTTTAGCTTGCTCGCAAGATCCGATTCTCTCGATTAACGATTGAGTAATATATCTTTGAAAATAATGATGTATGATTTTCTTAATTGTGAGAATGACATTCTTTCTGTTACGCGGTGAACACGATACAAAAATATGCCATATTCCGCAACGAATATAGTATATGCACTTGCGGTGTATGACAGATTCACCTGCGGTATACACACTAACCAATGAGAACGTTAACGTGATACGGAAGTACGCAATTGTCAAGTAAAACTTTATAAATTATTATAATGATCACTGAATCAACAGTACAGTTTATCGAATATATCGTCGTATGCAGAAGTATCACTCACCAATCTCACGTAATAAACTTACCCAATCAATCCAGGATTCATATATTAGTACTCGACGCACTAACAATATTGGTAATCCAGCGTAGTTTTACATTTAGAGTCGATTCTCCCAACCAATCAAACCAACTGAAGTCTTTCTGTTTCACGTTTTCACCTGCGGAAAATTTCATATTCACCGCACTGCAGGGTAATTCACTTAAAGGGCTACGCTGGATAATTCACTTGAAGGGCCACGCGGGATAATTAAATTAAAGGGCCAAGAGGGATAATTCACTTAAAGGTCACGAAGGATAAATCATTTAAAGGTCACGAAGGATAAATCATTTAAAGGGCCATGAAGGGTAAATCATTTAAAGGGCCGCGCGGGATAATTTACTTAAAGTGTCATGCGGGATAATTCACTTAAATGGACACGCGGGATATGAAAATTTTCATAGGGCGAGAGATATATCCTATTCTAAACTTGACTATATAATTGTTGTAATCACTAATGAAGTGTTGAAATAATCTTAAAATATAAGTATGTTTAATAAACATTTATTAAATTCAACATTATTTAAGTCATCATACTTGGTCAACATACTGAATGCATCAGAGGTCGAGATCATTCCAAGGTCAAAAGTCTAGGTATCTGACATTTTAAGGCACTTGAGGGCTGCTGTGTCAAGGTCAACTTTATGGGTCAAGGAAAAATTCAATATGTCGGTATTTTCGGAGTTGCTGTGTCCATTGACGACCATGGTAAGGTGACACGAGGTCAAGGTCATTCCAAGGTCAAAGGTCAATACCTGTATTTGACGTTTTAAGCTCCTTTGGGATTCGTGTGACTATTTGCAACCATGATTAGGGGACCCGAGGTCAAACCAAATTTGTATTACTCAAACTCGAACGGGTAGATTAGCTGGATATAGATCGTCTAGATAACGCAAAATTTCACATTAATCAAATAAACATTTCTGTGTTCATTATTTATTTATCATAGTGGAAACCATTTATTTGTTAATAATCATAATTAACCTATTCCTTGCTTGCAGATCTAGATGGCAAACTCGGTTACAACGAAAACACACCAGCAGAATCGTGCCAGGCTGTCCTCTCAAAAGACCCAACCTCCAAGGACGGCCAATACTGGCTTATTTTAGAAGGAACCTCAACGCTGTTCTACTGTGATATGACCACTGACGGGGGAGGTTGGACTCTTGTGTACAGTTACACGTTCATTAATTTCAACACCATAGACGGCTCTGAATATGTATCTCCGAGTGCAACGTGGACCTCTAATATCGGCAAGCTAACGCCCGAATCAACATCCGGGCCACCAGAGAGTGAAACTGATTTCAAAGCTATCGATTTATCTCTCTGGAAAATCTTTGGTGATAGCATACTGTTCAAATCCAATATTATGAACTGGATTAAGTGTATTAATGTCGAAGAACGGATTTTCAATAAAACCGATGGTGATATAGCGTGTGATTTGGTAAAACACGATAACAATGGCTGCACTGATGTCCCGGGATACTGGAAATGTGTTAGCGAGTTCCCGGTGCTCAAAACAAGCGAAAATGGACATGTAATGATTTCATTTGATTGCGCAGATTCACGGTATAACGCAACACATCAGAGCTGCCCATTTTCTCCTTCTGTAAACAACGAACAAAATCCACGGGGAAATGTCTACATCCGTTGACATTGGTAAAGGAAATATTGGCAATGAAGACTGGCTCCTAGGGTTCTTTGGAACGTATTTTCCACCTTTTAATTGTCTAAAAGCACCAGTGGGAAATACGTTCCAAAGGAAAACCAGTGGTGGCTCGAACAGAACTAATTATGTTACATTTGTCAGAATAATCAAGGATTTGATTTCCAACGAGGTCCATCTTCACATTGAAATATGTTCATTCATGAATTATCGACTATACCCTCCCTAAAGTGATTGTTATAGCAGTATTTTTATCTTTAGAAGTTTGGACTCGATGTGTACGTTTGGGTACTTCTTGGTACCCATTCCCTATTTTCAGTAATATGTCACGTGACTACATCGAGATCCGGAACTGAGAATTCCTACAAGGTATTTCTGGACTTGAGGAGAATCCCAAATAATTCATCAAAGTAATATTGGCTATAGAATTAGATTTTACCAAAACGTAAACATATCTGTAGGACGATTGTGATTTATTTAAAATTCATCCAAAGATTGTTAAAATTCAACTCATGATTTTTCAGATAAACCATGTTGTCCACGATACTTCATTGCTTTGGAGAATTCTTGCCGCTTGCACAAATTCGGCCTCGGATTGAATGACAGAACGGATCAATTACGACATTAAAGAAACCCTCTTTGACCTTAACGTTAAGATGATAATTGACTGTATTTAGACGTGCTGCTTTCATTTACAATCACGCGAACCAACTTGAAATATCAAGATATGAGATGTTGTCGTCAATCGAAAGTATACACGCAAACGATTTTAATTGTAAAACTGCTTGAACAATGTTGCACAGCTAGATAACATGCAGGATATTAATACGATCAGAAAAGATCAAAAATTATTTTAGATGTGTTTACTGTTAATATTCCGTTGTAGTTAATTAAACAGCAATTACATCTGCTGCAATTATAATAATACTATACACATGTCAAATTAGGATGATTTCATTTTAGACAAATATTTTGTCTCAAATGCTTCTCAATTACTGTACAAACATATGCACTTTATTAAATAAATTATCATTTACAAAAATATTTTGACAATTAAATTTTAGAGTTGTTCTGTGCTGCACTGTATGTACTATACCCTACAGAGGGAGTCAATAATGTTCGATTCGGACGAAGCCTAGGATCATTTTACACCATTACTCATTTATCTTGAATATTGCGCATTGGGACAGCATCTTTTCCATCCAATCGAGGTTGGGCCATGCAACCGAAGGTAAGCCATACAGCCACATTTTGCCGATTCAATCTGACGGAGAATGCCGGGCCTCTTTTTTGACCAATTAGAGACGTACTCTTCACATTTGTGGTACCCTCGGCCAACTTCGCTTGCCAAGACAATCTCCGTCTTTTCTTGAGGTATCTTTGGTTGCAAGCCGAAAGTCGACACCCATTGCCCACCTAGCAAATTATCAGGACACTTCCACAACCGCTGCAATTACAAGCGTTTGGACTGTATGACTTAAATGGTATGAAATCTGCAAGATTCTTCAGATATAAATGAATGTCTACATGTAGTTAGAGAGTCAATCCAGAAATTTGAGTATCAAGGAGGATTGCCAGCTATTATTCAAACTCGATACCCCGTTGCCTGGCGTGGAACAATTTAGTAAATATTTATTTCTATAAGGTTCTCTTTGGACCAAGTATTTCGTTGAAAGGTGGTCATTACTAATATTATGGTAATATTCAACTTTCCTCAGCAGCTTCAAAATATGAGTAATATTGTTACCAAATTGGTCTACGCCGGGCAACGGGGTATCGAGTTTGAATGACGGCTTCCAATCCTCCTTGTTGAGTAAGTATCAAGAAAACGCTATTTTACCAGATTATTCTCCAAAAATCAACACGGAATCAACGTAGAAGCGACATAGATTCCCGGGTTGATCCTCGCGGCATGGGTTTTACGTGACTGTGGATTGGCTGATTATGACCAACTGTGTATCATAACAATGTAACTTGATATGATCTTGAAAACAATAGCCTTGTCAATAAAAATAAAATTGTCTCAGAAATCGGAAAAATCAAAGGAAATTACAATGCGTCTCTCACGCAACCTCTAGACGAAAACAATCAACATGACTGAGGCCAGAGCGTAACCAGCTGATGAATTCCCGGGTTTTGTACATAGCCAAACTTCAAATCCATTTTAAAATCAATGTTAATCATCTTTTATATTGCAACGAAAACAATCATATTTCATGATTAAATCATGCAAACTTGCGATCTCGTTTTATAAACGGTTGGAGTCGGCGCCCAAAGCAATTGATAGCTCGTATTGATGACCATATTTACAGATATACTCACAGGCTTGTATCGAAAGATTTGTCCGCTGTGACGGAGCATGCTATTTTTCATAAAAACACTAATAGACAGGTTCCAATTTCAGAATATCTCAAGGGAAAGAGTTTTTGAGGCATTTTTTAGAAAAAGCAACAGACCTATTTTTCTGGATCAGTTTTTCATGCTGATAAAGATATTAAAAGATGACAGCTGCATTTTAGCGTTTTCACCCCCCCTAGGAAATTATCTTAGGGGGTACTATAATATTAGTTCATAACTCAAAGGATATATAAACTATTGTTCTGAGTTCTACAGCATACGTTGTTAGTACAGAGATGAATACTATCCTAAAGTTATAGGTTGATATCTTTGTTGGTTTCGGAAAAATACAATTAATTAGAAAAAAATATGCAATTTTTGTCATTTTTTTCTTGCTTATTTTATATTTGTAGCTTCAAGCAAAATATGATAACTTTAACAGCTCAAAGTAGTATTCTAACAACATTCCCAAGCTATGTGTGATATTGTAATACATCTATTATAGTGATGAAGTACTATTTTGTAATTTTAATATGACTTGATAGTGCCCTACCCCTGGTAAGTAGAAGAAAGTTGGTGTGGTTTTCTTCTGGTTTTAACATTTTATTGACTTCTTAGTTGAAGATACAATCAATTCTGTCAGTTAACCATGAGTAGCTTTACAATGGTTAACTATTCCCATTAATAGAGGGTTGGGACCTCAAAAACACCAGAACTGTTAAGTGGCATCCTTGGGCATCCCTCTTCGGAGCATTTTCCTTATACTCCGATAAAATCTGCAGGGGATACTATAAGAAACCTATATATCTAAGATACTAATGAAGATACTGAATTCAAATTTTCAATTTTCAGGATTTGGTCCTGGTATGATAGGTAATCTGTATGACAAAAATGACAAAAAGAAAAAACTCTGTTGCCATAGTAACAAAAATACCACACTCTTTGTTACCTAAGAAATGTGTTTTAAGAGGTTTTGTCATTCTCTTATATTTTTAATTCTAAATATGTCTACAATGTGGGATGATTAAAATTATGGTAAGGTAATCTTTTCTATTGTTCTCTAAAACAGAAGTTGCTATGGCGACACATAGATCATAGAAAAAATGCTGGGATGATCGCTCTATTTGTCAGGAAATTAAAATGGAAACTGAAAAATGAGTTTCTTCCCACTGAATAGCAATTAATTTGGTAGACCATGGCTGACACGCACAAGAGAAAACGTTTATCAGTTCTATGTCATTTTGTTGTTATTTTTATGTCACCACCAAAAGTGGTGACATATTGTTATGGTCTCCGTTTTTTTGCGACGGCGTCCGGCGGTTGGCGTCCGGCGGTTGGCGTCCGGCGTCTGTAACAATTTCTTACAACTTCCTATAACATAACAAATACTGTTTAGATTGACTTCAATTTTTTTCTAAATCATCTACATGTTCTCAGAAGTTCAAATCTGACTTTAGATTTGACATTTGACCTTCAATGACCTTCTCAAGGTCAAAAAGGTATTTTTTCAACTTGCTTCACATTGACTAAATTTTTTTTCAAAATCATCTACATGTTCTCAGAAATTCAAATCTCACTTTAGATTTGACTTTAGATTTGACATTTGACCTTCAAATCTGACTTTAGATTTGACATTTGACCTTCAATGACCTTCTCAAGGTCAAAAAGGTCTGTTTTCAACTTGCTTCAAATTGACTAAATTTTTTTTTCAAAATCATCTACGTGTTCTCAGAAATTCAAATCTGACTTAAGATTTGACTTAAGATTTGACATTTGACCTTCAATGACCTTCTCAAGGTCAAAAAGGTCTGTTTTCAACTTCCTTCAAATTGACTAAAATTTTTTTTCAAAATCATCTACGTGTTCTCAGAAATTCAAATCTGACTTTAGATTTGACTTAAGATTTGACATTTGACCTTCAATGACCTTCTCAAAGTCAAAAAAGGTCAAAAAGGTCTTTTTTCAACTTGCTTCAAATTGACTAAATTTTTTTTTCAAAATCATCTACATGTTCTCAGAAATTCAAATCTGACTTTAGATTTGACATTTGACCTTCAATGACCTTCTCAATGTCAAAAAAGGTCAAAAAGGTCTGTTTTCAACTTGCTTCAAATTGACTAAATTTTTTTTTTCAAAATCATCTACATGTTCTCAGAAATTCAAATATGACTTAAGATTTTACTTTAGATTTGACATTTGATCTTCAATGACCTTCTCAAGGTCAAAAAAGGTCAAAAAGGTCTTTTTTCAACTTGCTTCAAATTGACTAATTTTTTTTTTCAAAATCATCTACATGTTCTCAGAAATTCAAATCTGACTTTAGATTTGACATTTCACCTTTAATGACCTTCTCAAGGTCAAAAAAGGTCAAAAAGGTCTGTTTTCAACTTGCTTCAAATTGACCAAATTCTTTTTTCAAAATCATCTACATCTTTTCAGAAGTTCAAATTTGACTTAACAAGTTCTCAGAAGTTCAAATCTGACTTTAGATTTGACCTTTGACCTTCAAGGTCAAAAAGGTCTTTTTTCAACTTGCTTCAAATTTACTTAATTTTTTTTTCAAAATCATCTACATGTTCTCAGAAGTTCAAATCTGACTTTAGATTTGACATTTGACCTTCAATGACCTTTTCAAGGTCAAAAAGGTCTTTTTTCAACTTGCTTCAAATTTACTTAATTTTTTTTCAAAATCATCTACATGTTCTCAGAAGTTCAAATCTGACTTTACATTTGACATTTGACCTTCAATGACCTTCTCAATGTCAAAAAAAGTCAAAGCGGTATTTTTTCAACTTGCTTTAAATTGACCAAATTGTTTTAGGTGGTGACATTTTGTCATGTTAATGCCTTGTTTTTTATTTATCGTGGTCTGGGACTTATAACACCTAATGCCCGATCTTCTCCAACTGCAAAGGAAGGCAAGATTTTAATAATGAACATTCATATATCTCAACAAATATGGCCTAAGATTTGGACAATGATGAGGAAACTCTGAGGGAAAATTAGACGAAACATTAATGTGAGTGGTCCAAAAATAACACTAACATATTTTGGAAAAGTTATGCTCTCGGATGAATCAGTGCTCATTTAAGGATAGTCTGAATCAGGTGAATTTTTTAACCTAATTGTACCCCTCCCCCAAATACCCCAGATTTTGACGAAATTGTCGAAAAGTGGCAAACAACATTCATTAAAGTTAAATATGGCTATTTCGCTTCTATGTCATAAAGATATGATACGATCTCAGGTCAATCAATAAATTTAACAAGTGACACTCTATCTTATGAAGAAAATACTATCGTATTTGAAGACATGTCAAAAATTTGGTGGATATAAATTGTGTCACTCCTGATTTGACCTGCAAAGGTTCAGGTAAGTTATCACAAACAATTTCAGACAGTTATATCTTTGATCATGACTATTTCCTGACCATGAAGACAGGTACATGTATACAGGGATAATAAAGTCAATCAGACTCG